CTGACTCTCTGTCTTGCATCACCTCACTCACAAACTACACACTCTTACACCCAAAAATAGTTAGGCTACAACAGAAAATTCATACACTATCCGAAACAGGGAAAACATCATGTTCGCATGGATACCCAGCCATGTGGGCTTTCGAGGAAACGAGCAGGTAGACGACCTGGCGAAGAAAGCTTCATCCCTTCTGCTGGGATCAACGACAAACACTCTCCCACAGACTGACTTTAGAAATAAAGTAAAAAAGTACCCCTCCAGTCTGTGGGAGAGCCACTGGGAAAACCAGAAAAATAATAAACTATATGAAATAAAACCCAAACTGAAACAGCGAAATCCTTCGGACCTCTCCCGAACAGACGAAGTCATTTTTACTCGATTGCGCATCGGACACACGGCCCTGACCCACAAATACCTCCTACAGGTAGATGAGAAGCCGTTCTGTGTCGGATGCGACACAGATTTTACCATTAGACACATTTTAACAGAATGTCTAGACTTTGGAGAGATCCGAAGGAAATATAAATGCAAGAAATTGCAGGATATTTTTTCCGTCGTTGTTCCCAGCAGAATTTTAAATTTTATAAAGGCCATTGGCCTTTATGGCGAGTTGTAGAGTGAATTTGATATTATTTAAAAAATTTATTGTTACTTAAAAGTTGTTTTAGATCACAAATGTATTTACACCGAATTTGAATATTTTAACTTTTTAGCATTTTAAAGTAAATTAGTTAGCCAGTCGTGAAGTGAACTTTCGCAGAGGTGAACAACTTGTGTTTCGCGCGCTCATATGACCTTAGCAGTTGCGAGCGCCGTAAAACCTTATACTATACATACATAAGAGGAACACCTGGGCCAAAGAGGTGTGTTGGTGAGGGACAGTCCGTAGACTGATCTTACCTCAACCGCCAGGTGCCCGGTTTCCCTCCGCACGGGTCGCACCTCACGGTCAACAAGGCGCCCACTCTGTGGGATGGGTGACCTCTCTTTTTGCTGCACATGAGGTCAGCGGTGGGAAGAAAGATAGAAGGAGAAAGAAAGAAGGAAGGAGAAAAGGAAGATACACCAAAGTGAGTGTCGCACACGGATCCCAGAGGGTTGGGGTCCATGTGCAACACTTCGTCATTGAAGGGGTTACACCTCCTACAGACAAGGTAGTGGGTCTATTTATATGCCCCTGTTCTATTGGCAGTCACAGACCAGCGTTGTGTTGTAGTAGGTGTCACATGCATAAAAGGAAATCTTAATCGAGTATCTCTGTCTTTGTTTATGGGATGTTGTATCCCGCTCACTCTCAGCCCGTGTTACCCTGACAGGCATGATCGGAAACAAGCCCACACTCTTAAATGATCTAAAGTGAGTTTATGGGTGCATAAAAACACCTCTTTTTTATTTTAAGAAGTCTCTTACAGTACTGTCTCGTTGAGGGTCACAGCTGCTTTCCTAAAAAAAGCCCCACTTTTCCTTGCTGTATTGACCAGCTCTTCTTTCCTTTTATGTGCAAAGGGTAAAATTCTGGAGTCTGCTCGTCCTTCCCAGGTTTTCATTTAATGATGTTCCAGCTGTCTTGTTGATGTGAAAGAAGTAATCCCATTTCCCCCCCAAAAGAATTGTAGTGGGCATGGTTAGAAGAGGGTCTGGGTGGGAGTTTAAATGTAGACTTGAGCAGAATGTCGAAATCTTTTCTGAGATTTTAAAAGTTAATTTCGTGACCTGTGCTCGTGTCTCTGGTGTGGAGAGAGAGAGTTGTTCCCTGAACAGAATAAAACATTTTTTTTATAGATAAGTTTCCAACTGATAAGTGAAACGGCGTCCCTTTTGCTTTAATTTTATTTGTTGTCGTATCAGGAGCCCCAACACAAAACTGAATTTGAAGTGGAAAATGTTAACACACCATAAATATTAGGTCAGAAAACGTTTGCTCAACCACAATATATATAGGAGAGGCCAGAGAATGTCAACCTCAGTAGACAGAATTTCTGCCCTGTTTGTATTTCACAGCAGCCCGCTTTTGATGGAACCGAAAAGAAAAAGAAAGACCCACCTTTGTATCCGACTAATTGTTTTGAATAGTTTTTTTTTACATTGTTTTTTAAAAAGCTATTTAGTCCTATATGAAGGCACAGCTAGGCAGATTCTGTTTTTAGGCAAGGAAGGTTTGACAGTGCTTGTAGATTTTCTTAAAATGAGTTAAAAGATTCACCTGTGGGTGAAGAAGAAAAAGTAAAGGGCAAATGTCTTGGTGTTGTGAGTCTGGCTCCACAGATCTTGTAATCAGCGTTAAAAAGCTAGAGAGCAAATCTGTTGCCAGATTTTGAGATTTCCCCTCGATCAATATATGCCATGAACCCATCACGTCATTTGCTTCGGATGGAGGGAAGTTGGTCGATCTCCTCTTCACAACCCATGAATTTGCTGCTCTGGAAAGACATGTGGAACAGAACTAGAACATTACTGGAGTTCCAGTGGGAGTACCAAAAATTATCAGTGTAGTGTATGTTTCCTCATGTCATGCATGGTAAAGGGAGTTTTTGGTTCCTTGGATATCAGCAACTGACCACAAAGTGCTGCTGTTGTGAAGTCAGATTTGTTGAAGTTTGATTACACCCAAAAACTGCACTGGTTCACTTAATTGGTTACATAGATCTGCAGCACCGTTTCTTTTCCTGCCTCCATAAACTTGAATTTAATCAGATCTCCTTGCGTTTTTTTTTTTAATTAAAAAGAAATTTTTACATTTTTTGGGGGCACATTAGTTATTAAGGAATAGATCCACCTTTTTGTTTTTTAGACGGGCTTTGTGGGCGATTGAGAGTCTGTAAGCTCTAAAAGTCCAAGCAGTAGTCTATTTGAAAGACTAAGTAAGGTTTATTGGCTTAGTTAGTTCCATGTGTAGTTTTGAAATTTAAAGCAACAGGGTTCATCTTGGTCTGTTAGAAAAGGTCTAAGAATGCAAATTTTCTTTGTGTCTGAAGTATTCAAATGAAATACAAACAGGGCCTAAATTACCTGAGACTTGTACTTTTTGGAGGGCCATTTTTGCTCTTTTGTACTACAGGTAGGCCTACTTATGTGGGAATTGCAAAATCTTGGCTGATGAAGTTTGAAATGTAATTTGTTGAGTATTTTAATTGAGCAAACTTTATCTGATAATTGTGTCTTGGCTCTCAGGACTTGCTGTACTTCGCATGCACCGTTGCCTTTAGCTGTTGTAATAAGTTCACTTTTCCCTATCGTAAAGAAAGACATGTCGCAACTTTTTTATGAAATATTCTTTGTACCGTGTCTCTTGATCTCGAGCAGAACAGTTTTTTATTCCTCCATATATTGCTCTTCCTCACTCCTGATCTGTAGCTTTGACTTTTGTGCACTGTTGGCTTTCCCTACACACAAAAATATAGTGTATTGTCTTTTTGGGCAGGGGGTGTTCGTACCAGGTGTTTGAAATCATGAAATTATTTTCCCTGCACCGTTCTGTGAGTTGTTCGCTGCGTTACTTTCGCATTAAAATCCCTTATGACTAGCTTTACTTCCTGAGATTTTAGTTGTTAGATCGCCTTATCAATGTCTTCATAAAATTTATCTACTTCCTCATTGTCATGCTTTGATATTGGTGCATGTACTTGGATGACACCTATTTCCAAAGTTTTTCCTTCTAATTTATCTCTGTCTAACGATGGGTATTCCAAACTTATTTTTCAAAGTTCATTCATATTTTTACTTGCTTCAGCTTTAAAGACAGAAAGAACTCAAACTCAACACACACAAAAAGTTTGGGTGCCCCCTCTGCTACGCATGAGGACATTGTCATTCAGATGCAACAGAGAAAATATCTCTTCGAAATGATTTACTGTCGTGTTGTCAACCACGTCTGCTTAGCCTGTCTGGTTTGTGGTGCCCAGTACATACCCCTGAAAGGCAAGTCAACAATAGACGTGTACAGATTCCCAAAAATACTTTCATTTCTTCCTCTGGGATGGGCTAACTAACATCCATTCTCTGCTGTTCTAGTGGGTTCCTGTTGCTGTCCAGCATGGAAATCTCAACAACAGCACGGTCAAAGTGTACAGTGAACATCATGGAATCACAGACATTTAACTTAGCATGCTGGTGCCTTGCTTCCTGAAGTCTTTTGCCATGCAGTAAATGCGGAAAGTCTTCAGCACACAGTGCAATGTTGAACGTCAGACAATAATGACGACATGGAGCCTGTTTCTTGATTGATGCACAGACTATGTCAACTGGCGGTGTTTAGGGTCGGCAGACTTTGCTGGAAAGTGTCCGAATTTTGCAGTATTTAGCCAATCGACAGCATTGATTGGAGTCTCCCGGTCTGTTGCTGTACCATAATATGGGGTTGAATCAGGACGTCCACCGCCAACTTTCGAAAATCTTTTGCAGATGGCCATCATTGCACCTTGACGTTGCGGCCTTCGAGCAGATGTTTTTCAGGTAGTGGTACAGGGCGTGGTACCATTTGTAGTTGTGATGGGGATGGGTGTAATTTTTTATTAAAACTTGATTGAAGTGGTCCACACCACCCATAAGTGTGTTGTAGTTCTCCGCGATGCCGAGTTAGTCCACTGACCTGTACCCACCTGAGGCATCTTTCGTGCAAATGCGCTTGTGCGCAGTATTGTTTGTGTGAATTGTGCTCAAAAGGTTCACACGTGGACTCTCGACAGCAGTGCCGACAGCACCAGTCGGTGCACCCACCCTGGAGAGTCGCTAACAGTGACGGTGAGGAGTAAAAATTGTACATATATATATATATATATAGGGAGTGCTTATTTAGGCCACATATGGCCTAAATGAGGTAAGGGAGGGGGGTTTAGCTTATTTAGGCCACACATGCTCAAACTACCCTTTTCAGGCAACTGAGTTCGTTCCACTTTCATAATGGTGCACCTTTCTCATTTAGTACGGTTTTGTCTCAGTGTACAACTTATAAATCATTAACACAACACGAGATTGCCAAGCATTTAATGGCTCATAGGCCTAAAGGGTATACGTTGCAAATTAAAGCAACAGCTGAAACCTGATACAACAGGGAATGTGGGGGCCACAACAAAACCCCTGTCAAATTTAAATTTAAGGAAACAGGAAGAGACGAGAAGAGAATATAAAAACCAACTGTTAAAACAGTGAAATACGGAGTAAAAATGTTCTAAAAATTTCCCACTTATACAACGATGCTCTTTTGTGGTCTCCAAGATATGATGAAAATACTTCAAGGGCTATTTCTGCCGTACATGATGATCTTTGATAGATTTTAACAAAGGTCAGAGTCTACGTCAACAAACCTTGTCAACCCCATAAGAGGGACCACATGGTTTTGCTGTCCAGTGCTCATCAGACATTAATTCATTGTGCTCTTTTGTTGCAGACCACAAAATAGCAATGGTAGTATCAACTGCTGTGCCCCGAGGTACTAGTCTACGGGAGAAAAAAGACTGGTAAACTTTCATACTCTTCTGAGGAAAGGCTGAAAAAACATTCACTCCCAGAACATTGGAAGCTGCCATAATCTGCCACATGCCCATGTACACAGAGTTTCGGGCAATGTGTACAGTCTCTCTTTCAAAGGTTTCTTTGATATCACCACAGTGGTGATCAGAGAGAACATGTAACAAATTCAAATCTGAGGAACTCAGACACAAGTAATCAAAAGAGTTCAAGGCAAGCTCCATGACTATCCTACACCTAAGTTCTTTGTGGTGATCCTGGTCACCAAAGGCTAAGAGGCTAAAAGCTCTTGGAACACAGTTCCCATCGGCTATGGTGAGAACAGGGTGTAAAGGCTTCAAGTAGTCGGGGACAAGACTCAAAGCAATTGCATCCACAATGCCGACATCTATAACTCGTTTTGGTGCCACTACTGGCATTGGGTACAGAGACATCTCTGCTGAAGCTGACCTACAGACAGACTGCAACTGCTCAAATGTGTTGCACTTGGTTAATTTGGCCCGCAAAGAGGCAAAATAAACACCCCTTGATGATGAGTCAGCTACACCAATGTCACGCTGAACAGGGACAATGTCACGCTGAACAGGGACAATGTCACGCTGAACAGGGACAATGTCACGCTGAACAGGGACAATGTCACGCTGAACAGGGACAATGTCACACTGAACAGGGACAATGTCACACTGAACAGGGACAATGTCACGCTGAACAGGGACAATGTCACACTGAACAGGGACGACAGGGACAACAGGCAAAACGGCTTGACTGACAGATTTCTTTTTCTTTTGTTTACGCACACGCACAATCTTTTGCTGACACCACTCTCCCGTAAAAGGTTCATTTACACACACACCCCTTTCCCCAATGGGGCAGACTTCACAAAAGCATGATAATAGCTTGGTCTCTAAGGACCCTGTGGACGGAAAACGCAAACTGTGAATAGTTTGAGTTCCCTTAACTGGCTGAAGTGAACCAGTTTCCACACGTTCTATGTTACTTGGATTGATAAGATCAAAAGACCGTACACTCTCCAAATGACAACAAGTACTGTCTTGAGCAATGCTGAGGTGCTCGTTACAAAAGTTGAACATCTGTTCAGCACTCTGGATAATATGAGATCCAGAAAGTACTGCCCTTGTGGCGGCATTCTTAACCACCCCACCACATGAGTCACACAGACTCTTTCCGTGGTTGGACCCAAAAAAATGACGGGTGATTGTCATATTTTGGTATTCTTCCTGCAGCTGAGACAGATGCAGAAAGGTGTACCTACTTTTATACTGGCTGCTACAGCCGTCACTGAAAAAGTGAAGGGCAACAATACCCTTTTCTTTCATCCTCTCAATGCAACGACGAAGAATATGTTTAGTTAAATGAGAGTCATGTCTGAGCTCATCAGACAAAAACACTATATACTCTGTGATAATTTTGTGACAGTCTGCCTCATTACATTTATTAAAAAAAAACACATGGATGTACAGAAACCTGCCTGTAAGACCAATGTGCACTCTGGACTTCGTTCTGAAATTTACACAAGTAATTTTCAGCAAAGTCCACAGTGCACATAGCATGACCCCGGGGCAAAGAGAATTTAAGAGATTGGTATTGCTTTCTCTGCCACTCTGCGACTTTTAAGTGCTTGGCAATCTCATGAACACTTTTCTCTAGTAATGAGAGGATCTCACTGAGGGGGCTCTCGTGAAAGACTAGGTCTTTTGAGGCCTTTTCACTCTTCTCCCACTTCGACCATTTTCGAACGACAGTGAGATCCTCTATGTTACCTTTTATGGACTGTATAAGAGAATTAACCCCACAGTTCGGGCATTGTCGCTCAATACACATTCTCTCCACATTCTGGCAGAGAGTCTGCTCCACAAGAGCCTCAATGGAGGTAATTCTATTTGATATTTCTTTATTTAATACCTCCATAAGGAGCATGACATTTGTGCATCTTTCGCAGAGACATTGAAGAAACTTCCTGCTGGAAGACAGAGAAATACTTTGGGGTCTTCTTCGCTTAAAAGTAGCGAAGGATATCTTTACATTGGGGTGGGTTTTTTTTAATTCTTTGAAAAGAACTACCATTGATTTGGTCAGGACCTTTTTTTGGTCTACTGACCCTTTCTTGCCAGGAAAATCAATGGCATTTCTTTCCAAAAAATGGGGAACCCCAAAAGAACATGCAGTGCCCCTATTATAATAAGAACTTAAGTCCTTCACCATACTTACATCCCTCTGTTTCAGTAGTTTTTTCAAGAAATCAGACTTCCAGAGGGAAAACTTATTTCTTGAAAATTAAATTTTTTCCTTAAGGGAAAACAGCGCCCGAACAATGCCCCCAGCTCTTTTGCTACGTGGCTGTGGTGCCTCTGCCTGTCGCCTCTCTTGCTGCCTCCGGTACCGGTCCCTCTGTTTCTCCAGCTCCCTCCTCTTCTTCTGTGCACTCATGTTGGCACGTCTTTTCTATTTTACACCCCCCAAAAAAAGGAGTACAAAGAGCTTTATTTCAAACTTGTGCTTACCACCAGGGGTAAAAATTCTCAAGAAATTGTTTTTTTTCTCATAAAATGTTTATATAGACCAGAAACTAAATTTTCAAAGTAGCTGTATGACAAATTTATGTGTACCATATGAAAGGCCTATATCTGAGAATTTCCATACCATTCTTTAACCTCTCAGTCAATTTTTAAGAAAATGGCAGCTGTTTTTAATATAATCATATTTGCTTAAGTCGCTAACTGGCTTCAACCCGATGTTTGACAGGTAATAAAAAAGTACCAAGGGCACCAAACATCACATTAAAAGAATACAACCCCTATAACATAGAGCCTAATTTTTTTCAAGACTGTGAGATCATTGCAAATAGTATTTTATTGCTTCAAACATGATCTGCCGTTATAATGGCAAAAAAACAGCGCCCACCCGGCCAGCGCCGCACCGCTCCCCGCCACCGAGTTTACGCTACCTAGTTTATAGAGCTGAAACCACTTGTGACAGACTCTACCTAATTTTATACGGATCTTGTTGAATTATAACAATGATTTTTCAAATTCCCGCTTGTTTTTCTCTTCCTGACTGTTGCCTTGGGGGACCAGATAAAACAGGGATTTTACTCTGGTTCTACAATCCCTGTTATATTTAGATTTCTGCTGTACAAACACTGAAAATCTTTCATTGAGAACTTTCCCTACTATATTCCTAAAAAAAAAAAAAGATATAAATTAAATAAAAATCAATCTAAACAAAAGACTAGGTCAAACTTGGCACTATATCAAATTCCCCAAACAAAACTGTTGAAATTCTTTTTTTTAAATTGAGATTTTAAAACCAATACAAGCAAATTCACAATTTTATAATAGCTTTTAAAATTTAAAAAAACAGGATCTCACCTGCTGACTAAGTCGGTTTTTCTCTTTTTTGGCAGCCGCCAACTGAGCCTGTTTCCTAGTCACGAATGGACTCTTTGGTTCCTCTTTCTTTTTCCCAGGGGTAGTCTGAGGGAGTTGGCCATTGCTCTCAGCTCGGATCTTCTTTAGTTCTGCCCTGTGACATTAACATTAAAAAAAAAAAATTAATCAACTACACAATAATGTGATAAATCCACCAGGATTTTGGCTTCTCTCACACCACAGATTATAATGAGAGGTAGTAATTAATTAAATGAGAGCACAGGATTCTTACAGCTTTTGTCTAATAATTTGGCTTTTTGTTTAGGGGTTCCATACACATGCCGCACTGGGAACTGCGATCCTAAAAGCATTTGAAAAGGGTTACTGGAATCCCTTTTCTAGCACTATCGACATTAAGATCGTTTCAGTTTCATGAAGTAGATTAGAAGACAATTGCAAAATAAATTTGTATTCAGAATAAAATAAATTCATCAGGAGTCAATTGATGCTTAAAATAGGCAGATCTTGCAGAGATGTGTATTTGAAAGAGATTATCAAGCAGCTGCTGTGTGGGTGTCATGCGTCATGTGTAGTGTTCTTCTGACAGCCAAATTGCTGGTTGTACAACGGGGCAAATTTACATTTATTTATTACTTACAGTACAACTCACAGTTGGCGGACGGCAGTATAAAGGCCCAAATACTATAGAGGCGTTCCTTTTCGTACATTGGCAAAACATGGCGGTAAGCAGGGCTGGTGGTATAATGAGGCTTGACTATAATTTGGGGATCCCAATGAAATACTGTATAAAAATGTCAACCACACCAAAGACCGTCCCATCTGCATGGCTGTGCAGGAAAAATACAAATGATCCCCCGGCGGAATCAAACTTGGAACTCTAGCAAGGAAAGGAACACACAACATTAAACTAAAAGCACTTTTTGAAAAGTAGAAACCATGTGAATGTGGGCATTAAAGCTTAAGGTTTTAAATTCTAAAGACAATTTGAAACGGACAGCTCTTACCTTCGCCTCTGCTGGCGGAGTCTGGCCTTTTCTCTCAACAGGTCTTTCTGCTCAGGGGTTCGGCTGAGACGATAAAGGAGATTGTCCTCCTTCTTCTCCTTGGCAATTTTACACCTGACTTCATCCTGCTTCAGCCGTTCACGAAAGGCTTGGCATTTTTCGGCATTGCTTCTTGACTGTTTAGGCTTGGGTGGTAGGACTACCTTCTCTTTTGGAGGCCTCAGCCCTGAAATAAAGAGGATAGGGCAGTGTGCTTAGTTGATGCTATTTAAGAGTTTTAAATCTATCAAAATGAAGTTCAGACAACTTGCTGTCATTATCGTAAAGGTGTAAAAAGAAACCAAATATCTGACAAATTTGACAACTAACACATCAAGTATGGACATCATGAGGCAAGCTAAACCAAAAGGTAGTTTAGTTTGACTGGGCTGTTTTGTGGATCACACTGTATAACTTCAATGTCCTCCCCTATGGTTGTATCCACAAGCAGTCTATAATAATCAGTTTCCAATTCCTGTTTTAAGGACAACACTGCTTCATTTTGTGTCCCATTTTAAAATCATACAGGGTGAAAATTAAAAAATAAAAGTACAAATTAGAAAGTTTATGACAATTTATGTCACTTAGAAAATACATTGTCACTAATGTTGAATGATGAAGTTATACGTTGTCATCGAACCAGATTTCATAAAAGCGAAGCAAGCAACCCCATTCTTACATGATCCCAAATCCTACACTACAAGAATATTACTGTGGCACCCATGGGGATTCACTATATTGAAGTCCTAATTGAATTAATAAGGCCCAAATAGTTTATATGAGACATTCCATCTCACCTAGGGTTACCAGCTACTAATGACAAGAGAGTTCTTGTCATAAGAAAATTATAAACAAGTGACCCCTGCTATCTAGTGACCCTTAATCCTGTACGACAGAGATATTACTATGGCACTGATTTGAATTCATTATATGTCATAAACATTAAATTTAAGGTCCACACCACTTCAGAACCAATAATACGGGAATTCTATCTCATCTAGGGTTGCTGGCTACAACTGACAATAATCTCCATTGTTGTCATAATTTTACCTAAGAAAACAATGAGCAAGCAACCCCTACATTTCAGTGATCCTGCATTCAGAGCAACAAAAACAATTATGACGGCACAAATTTAAATTAATTACTTTAAACAAATGTTATGTTAACAGTCCATATCACTTTAGAACCTCTAATATGAAATATTCTATCTCATCTAGGGTTGCTGGCTACCACTGACAATAATCTCCATTGTTGTCATAATTTTTATCTAAGAAAATAAAGAGCAAGCAACCCCTAAGTTCACTGATCCTTAATCCTGAACAACTTGAAAATTATTACAGATCCAATTGGAATTCATCAAATCCAAAAAAAAGATGAGTATCACATCCACATCACTTTATAACCAATATTATGAGACGTTTTATCCGATTTAGGGTCGCTAGCTACCACTGACAAGAACCTTCAGTATTGTCATACCCTAGATTGTAGAAATAAACAGCAAGCAACCCCAACAATGGCAGTGATCCTTAACCTCTGAACATCGTGACTATTACTATGGCACCAATTGGAATTCACCACATGAAATAATAATTGAATATATATAGGTTCACATGGGTTTAGAAACAAGTAATTATGAGATATTTTAGAATAATCTAGGGTTGCTCGATACCAATGACAAGAACCTTCGTTATTGTCATGATGGACATCTTGGAAAACAATGTGAGATCATGTGATGGCTGGACCCAACAGTGGAGACAATTGAAATTTCTAGATATAATATATGTAAAATATAACCACTTCAATCGATAAATGTCACAGCACACACAGATGTCAAGAGATCTGAAGGGTCACTCGCTTCATATTAAGCCGATGGGGTTGCTTGCTTCAAGTATAAAAACCGATGACAAGAACACAATCTTACCTGCCCTCAAGCCAGCCATGATGGAAATGAAAAGGAAGTGATGGTTCCTTAAAAACTTGGTCTTGGAGTTTCTTAACCCTATCCCTGACAACATATTTCCCATCACATTCCTGACAACATGGGTGGATCACACCCGTATAGTCCACATATAGGAAAAAATGATTTTATCTGATTCCTGACAACATGGGTGGATCGCACCCATACACTTAAACGTAGAGAAAGAGAAACCCATATATATATATTTAATATATAAAAGACATTCTCTTTGTACAGGTAAGGTACTACAAAGAGTTTTTTGCCAGTTTCAACCATAAGGTTTAGGGCGCAATATGCTGAGTATGCGAGCTCTCTTCTTTACTTGTTACTATACTATACTCTTTTTATTTCACTTTCCACAAGACGGCTAGCATTCGGTAAAGTTCAATAAACTGTAGCACAGTTTCCTTATATTCCGCAGGGACTAGAATACCTGTGGTATAAATAGCAAAACTGTTACCATGTAGGCGAGCAGGGCACACGTGAGGAGATCTCTTTCTCCCCTGGCTGCTATTCTTGTTTTTTGTTGAGTCACACTTGGTTATGACGTCCTTTTCCTTTTTCCCGTCCAACAATTTTAGATGGTGAGAAATGACAGGGTTTGACGGGAAGCTGAATTTCCTCGTCGCCCAGGCTCTCAACTACATCAATGTAGACACCCCAAAACCCAAAGTTTCACCCAATGCTTAGAACTGTGAAAATGATTTACTTTGCGAGAGCTTGTTTTTCGGATTAATTTGATACCGAGATTATAAAATTCGAAGTTACAACATTTTGAACGTTTTTATGGTTCTGCCATTTTCCCATCTCCTTTGATATTGAATGAAAAGCCATTTTTGGGGTTCACTCAAACAAAATCCAGAATTTTAAGTGCACCTGCTCTGTTTTGTCATATATTTCTTCATACCTCGTACTTCACAACCGTACAAAGTCCAAGTGCTCATAATCTTTTACCTGACCACCTTGCTCTGGAAGTGAGCCTTGCTACTTTACAACATAGGTTTTCAATAAACTTTGACCATGACAAGTGAGAAGAATATATCGCCCCTTGGTAGCTAAAGTACGTTGTTATTTTAATGCTTTCCTTTTTGTACAATGCTCTTTCCGAATGCTTTACTGCACCTCCATTTCTAAAAACTCTCTTTTTGCTTTTCCAGATTTACAGACAGTGGAGAGAGAGAGAGGAAGACACACCCCCACCCCTCTTTAGCCCTGCACATGGGGGGTATTGTTTTGTAGTGTAGTGTGCCCAACACTGGCTCTCCCTCCCTCTTCAAATCTCGTGTAGCGTATTGTGACCAGTTGCACCATTTTATTGCCTGTTAATCTCCTGTTGTCTTCAGTTGGACCAACAATCGAAAAACAAACCACTAGATTGAGGCGTCCCATCCCATACCAGACATCCTGTTGCGTGATCAGGAGGAACTCTCATCAGCTTGATGTTGTCCGTGCTGTCGGTGGTGGCCACATTGAGCACTTGTAAAACATGAAATAAAAACGTGAAAGGTATGTTGATGTACAAACACATGTGTCCACGCTAAAGTTTTCTATTGTTTTCGTTTTTGAAATATCGGGAGATGATTTTGACGTATTCTCTTTATCGTATCTCCCTGCATTATTATGAATGTGTAGATTTTTACCTTGACAGACCTGTCCACACAACACAGAAAAAAGACAGAAAAAGAGGGAAGGATAGGGAAATTATTGTGAGGGTTCCGATGAATATTTAACCTTTGTGGAATGAATTTCTGATATTGCCACAATGGCCACTTCTTTGTCCATTTCCTTCACCATTTCAGCAGAGTATTCAAAGAAACTCCTATAAAATGACTTGTGGGGGGGGGGGGGGGTTGCTGTAGGTCTCCGCCTTCAAAAGAGTAGTCACCTGATCTTGTTGAAGGGTTGAAGACAAATTCTTGCTTGATTCTTACTTGGAAGGAAGATAAAAATTGAGGGCGATTGAATTGTTAAGATGGCTGATATGGCATCCGAAAAAGGGACATGAGACAAATAAACCAACTTAATATAAACAAACAAGCAAGCAAAATCATCCAAAACTTGTGCTTTCAAATTCATTGCACCTTAGTATTGCCAAAGGACATTTAAAAAGTTATTAAACTTATCCTGCACCAATGTAGCATAGGCTTGTGGCCGACCCCTGAAGCCTGGTCGTGGGAGAGTGGATGCCGCTCCCACTGCTCGTGGTCTGCAACAGCCTCTGACTCTCGCTGCAGAACAAAATTGTGGAGGACAGTGCAGGCAAGCACACCTGTTTCTGCATTTTCAATGTCCAACTGTACTGAAGTTGTTTTTTTTGTACGCATTATCGCGACCGAGCAGTTTGTGATAGAAGAAGAGAGTCTTCCATAGTGGAGAGAAGATGCTGAAGAGCTGGAGATGGTGCTTGTAAACCAACTTTGGCATAGTCAAAATTTTTCTCTAGCAGAAAGGTGTGGTCACATTGGAAGCATCTTTGTTTGAGGAAACAAGATTCACACAGCTCTCGCAGAGGATGGGCCGAAGTTTGGAGGATACATAGCCACCAATGTATGCCAATATGTTCTCTTCAGATTGCGTGAAAACAGTTTCTGGGGTTGTTATCATGGCTTGCTGGAGTTGCTTGGGCACATCTTGTTGTAACCTAGTCCTCACAGTGCTGGGAGCTCCTTTGCTGGTGATATGTTCAATGTTGAACAAAAATGCATCCAGGTCGTCTTTGCAATTTTTCCGCTCTCCTGCAACCATGACTGAGTTCACCATCACTTGCCTGAGGCTGCTCCTGAAATTCTTAGCATCCGGGTTGAACCGGTGTCCTCCTTTTCCTCTAATGATGGAAAACAAATTCTCCAAACAGTCTTGGTTTAGTCTACTGGTGACTAGATGATGGAAGTTGTGTACTGCTTTGAGCTCTTCCCACAGCTGTAACAAACAATTTACAGAGAGTTTCCAGCCTTCGATACATGGTAGTGTGCCAGTTTTATTTTTTTATTTTACTGTCTCCAACCAGAGTGCTATCTGCTCAAGGAACTTGACATGTTGTGAGCCAGGTGTGATAGCATGTCTCAGCGGACCACTGCTCGAAAGAGACCTGCTGTTGAAACAGTTAAATAGCTTGTCAAACTGCTTAATAAAACTGACTGTGTGTCTGGCTTCTTGTGGTAGCGCTCCCATGGGCATCATGGAGTTAATTCCTGCAGCGACTGTGTGGCTTAGTACTTGTGTCGCAAGCGAGACGCTGAGGTGAGCAAAGGCAGGCAACCGAATGTGGCGGTTGGTAAGTTTCGGTGCCATTCTGACACTCTGCTTCGAATCCATTGAATAAAATTCTTCAATGTATTTCCAGGAGACATCTTCTCCACCAACCTCAAAGCCTGTCCTCTTCATGTTGTTGCGTACACTCGGTGGCCTAGTGGTTAGGCTCTCGGACTCGCAACCGTAAGGTCGTGGGTTCGAATCCCGTCAAGGGCCCGACGTTGTGTCCTTGGGAAAGGCACTTTACACGAATTTTCCTCACTTCACCCAGGTGGGAATGGGTACCCGGCTATAGACAGCGAAAGATCTTGTCAGTTTGTTAGTGTTTGAGCGCTTAATCGGCTGCTCGCACTGTATGCTTCCCGGGAAGCTGAGAATGTTTCGGAGTGTTCTATGGTCTGCTGGGGTAATAATATAGTGTAAAGCGCATAGAGCCTGCTGTTGAGCGGGGATATGCGCTATACAAATGCTATCTATTATTATTATTATTATATTAAATGAGGAGGGTCATCATACAAACAGAAAATTTTGTGACCTATCAAGATGAAATACGGCTCTTTTGTCGTCACCCGAAGTTGATGAAATACGGCACGATTGTTTGTGTCCTGGTCACATACTAACACTTTTGGGATCAGCCCAATTTCTAACACTTTTTTAATGACATCTACAGTCAAAGTAGTTAACATTTTGTGTTTAGTGAGTCCTTTTGATAAGGCATAAGAGATAGGCTGTTTCCACTTCATGGTTAAGCCACGAATCATAAAGACAAGGGCGTGGTTTGCCTGATGCTGAGATCTTCCAAGGACTCCGAAATCCTCAAAACCTTCCACCAAATCCCCCGAAGGATCATACACCGCACTTTGCTGAATAGACATTTCATCAAACATGATAGCGCAAACCTTCTCCTGCTCAGACATTGCGTCTACTTTGATCTTAAATAGTTTTAGCATGTTTTCACTTATTCCTGGGTGGATGTTCACATTTTTCACCGACTTAGTTAAAGTCTTAGGACTGGGCAGGTGAAAGACTTGCTGTAGGAGGCGGTAGGCTTTTCTGCTTGCATGGTATATTGACAGAGCAAAACTCTTTTCATGGTATTTCCACCTACGAGCATTCTTACCAAGCTTGCTCATACATACTTGGGACAGGACAAAGTTCTGAGCATGTTTGGGCAGATATTTATCTAGCAAAGCACTTAAAGTACTCATGTCCTCAGTGAAGGTTGTGTCGGCCTTTTTTGTTTTTTCAGCACAAGTAGGTTTTTTCATTTTTTTCTTCAGACGCCAGTTCTTGGCTCTTTCCGCACACAGTTTTTTCTTCAGATTGATAATAATTTCATTTGATGTCTCATCAAATGTAGATGTCGATTCAGGGTCATGGGACTCATCGGGCAAAATATCTTCTATTGCAACGAGATTCTCATCTTCAGCAAAAGATCTTGGCCTTTATGGCAAATTGTAAAATGAAAACGTACTATCTAAAATTGTTATTGTTACTTATAAGAGTTGTTTTAAATCACAAATATATTTACACTCAATTTTAATATTTTAACATTTTAGCATTTTAGAATAAATTAGTTAACCAATCGTGCAGCGAACTTTTGCGGAAGTAAACAACTTGTGTTTCGCGCGCTCATATGGCCTTAGCAGTTGCGAGCGCCGTAAAACCCTATACTTTGCATGGATTAGCATAGGTGAGAGATCCACTGTTATAAGAATAGACCCAAACAAAAATCAATGAAACTAATCACAAATGAGAAAAAAATGAAGCTAAGCAATTCATAATTTCAAAGCTATTGAGTCAAAGTAAATTGATAAATAATACAATAAGCAGCTCCTACCTCTCTCTCCCTCTCTCTCTCTCTCTTTGTCTCTCTTTCCTCTCCCATTTCCGCCCTCTCTATCCCTCTTTCTTTCCCCCCCTCCCTTCACACACACATACATACCTGCCGGTGCATCTAAATCGAAGCATAGAAAACCAAATGGTACCGGTAAAGGTACATGTAAGCAGAAAAGACAGGTTGGCCGTTTCTCCTGATTTAGACATCAAGCATACAAAATTACAAAGTCTATAGAGCATAAAAAAAGAGCAAGAAATGTACTGCTTCATTAACCAGGCATATTGATCTTAAAAGTCAGTGACCAGATTTCTTGGTGCTTTTCTGGGAGGCTGCCATTCCTCGTCGCTGTCCTCACTGATGTTCTCGTCAGAATGGCCAGACTCACTAGCACTGGCACTGGCAGGTTCACAAACAGGTGAAGCTGTGGGTAAGGCTGTTGGTGAGGCGGCACTGGCAGAGGCACCAGTAGCAGATGAAGCAGCACTGGTGTCGCTAGAAGATGGGCGAGAAGCACTTTGAAGATCTGCTGCTGTTACCGACTTCCCAGGCTCGATTTGCGGGATCCACGAGGTGTCTGCTTGCCTCTTGGTGAGTACTTGAACTTTTGTAGGTACTCGAGAACTGCCTCGGATACCCTCCCCACCCTCCGTTCGTTCTCTCCCTGAGTAGCAGCTGGATTTTTTTTCAACACCGCATCAGCGTTGAGCGGTGCGATACCACATGCGTGGAATCCAGAGATTAGGTTGTGGGGCATCTTCATTCCCATTCTCTCATATTAGCTTTTTGAGAGTAGACATGGAAATACTACCTAAAGAAGTTGATGTTGGGTGAGACATCTTGTGTTGCTCCATAACCTTCTGCCACTCCCTTTTCATTTTTCATAGGGCCAAAGAACGATACATCCAATGGCTGACATTTGTCCGTGCTGTTGGGGGGCAGGAGGACGACCCGGATGTTATGATCACCGCACTTATCTATCACTGGACCACTAAGGTTGGAGCTGAGGTTGTCTCCGATGATGACTTTCGGACCCTCTCGCCGACGAGCCCTGGGCACAACGATTGTTAAAGACCATTCCTCAAAGTTCTCTCCATCCATCCACCCACTCTTACTTCTGCTGAATCTTGTTCCTTTAGGTCCCCCATTGCACCAAGATTCTCACAAATGTGTGGCTTTGTATACAACAAATGGAGTCATCATTTCACCATCTGCAGTGCCTGCAAACATTACTGAAATGTTACCCTTTGAAAAATGTATCACCCTTCCTGGGTATTTCTCGCCCCTCCTAGATATAATATGCATTTCTTCCTCCGCGGTTCATCCGCTAAATTTTGTCTCATCATTGTTCAGAATATTGCCTAATGGCACAGCATCCAAAGAAGTCTTGAATTATCAAAATACTTCACCTCCTCTGGATTGACCACAGCCCTTGCCCTCTTTATAGTTTGGCACATCCTGTTTGACAGCACTTCATGACGTTTAATGAACTGGTTGACCCAGTCATCACTAGGTGTGTTGTCTTTAAAGACGGAAACTGTCTGCTCAGTACTCCTCAAATGCTGTTTCACAATAAGTTTTACGTCACTTTTCTCAAGGGGTATGCCGTAGTCAGCACAGACAAGGAGATGGTTTACAAGTTCTTCCTCCACCTCAGCAGAGAGGGCTGTCTGACACCAAGTTTTTTTTAACCTGTCACTGTCAGTACTTTCACCCATGCTTGATAGTCGAGGCAGACTTTATGCTGTTGAAGCTAGAGAGGGGACTAAAGACTCCATTGGGTTCACTTCTTCCTGTCTCTTGGTTACTATACAAAATGTTAAATTAATTTATATTGAGTATAATGAGAGGTGTCATAAAATTGTACATTTGTGATTGTAAATCCAATTTAACTTTGAATTTGAGTTGTAGACCTTGGTCTTGGTAGGATGACTGTTGATGTTTTTAAAAAATCAAAATAAAGTATTTTTTCAGTGATGCAAAGCGTTTTGTGTGTGTATGTGTTTTCTCTTTTTGTTTGGCGCTATTATTTTTAGTCTGACGAGTGCTTTTTTGCTGACCCTCTCCTCCTCCTCCTCCTCCTACTACTACTACTACTACTACTACTACTACCACCACCACCACCACTGTACTCCTACTACTACTACTACCACTCGTCGTACTACTACTACTACTACTTCTATTTCTACTACTACTACTACTACTACTTCTATTTCTACTACTACTACTACTACTACAATTTACTTTTACCGCTGCTGCTGCTACCTCCTCTCTACCAATACCACTACCTTTAGTAATGATGATTCGGGTATAGTACATTTTAACAATTATAGATCTGATAATAATTATATATTATTGCTGTCAGGTCTATGGATCGGCAAAACCCCACATCCTGAAGATGCTAGACCCAGTACAAAGTTAACAAAGCTAAGGACTCCGTCTCACCCTGTACTGGGGGCTTTCCGCACTTCTCCAGTGGAGAGCCTCCAGGCCGAGGCAAACATGCCATCACTCGTCAGACGCACACAACTCTCACTACAACTACAATACAAAATTTCAATTATAATACAAAGCTCGACACCAGAGAACCCAGCACACGACTGTATTTGCAGAACAAACCCAGACACCATAAACAAATTCCAAAACAACATTGACATGGCACTGGACTCCGTAGAAGTAGAAAATTCTCCTAACAAATCTTTTCTTATCCTATCTGACTCTTTGTCTTACATTACCTCGCTTAAAACCTACACACCCAAAAATAGTTAGGTTACAACAAATATTACACGCTTTGGCTGAAACCGGGAAAAGTATCGTGTTCGCATGGCTTCCAAGCCATGTGGGCATCCAAGGAAACGAGCAAGTGGACCTCCTGGCGAAGGAATCCTTGTCCTTTCTGTTGGGATCGACGACGAACACTCTACCACTGACTCTAAAAATAAAGTAAAAAACTACACCTCCAGTATGTGGGAGAGTCATTGGAAAAAACAAATAAACAACAAACTTCACAACATAAGCCCAAACTGGGTCCACGAAAACTTTCGGGCCTCTCCAGAAGAGACAAAGTCATTTTTACTCGAATACGCATCTGACACAAATATCTACTTCAGGCCAGGGAGAAGAGAAGCCGTTTTGTGTCGGGTGCGACACAGGTTTTACCATTGGCATTAGACACATTTTAACAGAATGTCTAGACTTCGAAGACACCCGAAGGAAATATTTTAGATGCAAAAAACTGCAAGACCTGTTTTCCGTCGTTGATCCCAACAGAATCCTTGATTTTATAAAGTATGGAAAATTGTAAATTACATTGTTCAAAATTTTACATGTTATTTTAAGTTATTTGCACTCCTCGTCAAATCCGCATCGTAAAAAGAACTGTCCGGACTTGATAAGACCACGACTTTCAGTGGTATTCCTTGTGTATCCAAGCGGCACGAAAAGTTCACAAGTCGAAGGGCGTGGTCCGCAACCATGAGCTGAAGTGTTCCCGAAATGAGGAAATTGTGGCTAACTCAAGCAAGGGTGTGCAGCAAGCACCCGTGCTCAGTCACAAGAACACCCTAACTAAAGTGAAATCCCAGCTCATCAATAGCATCTTCATATCAACATTAACATACCAGTGTCAAACATTGTCTCTAAACACGGCACAAGAAAGAATAGGCTACATATTCAATGCATGCGAAATGAGGTGTCTCCGCAAAACCATCAACGTCACCAGAAGATACCGCATAAAAGGAAAAAGACCATACGCCTTCAAATCGGAATCGGAATACCACCAGTAATAACGTTCATAGTCATAGAGCGTCAATGAGTCAATTGGTTCAGACATCTAACCAGAATGCCCCGGAAACAACTAGCGGCTAGCACCCATGAACCGGGCTAGGAGGAAAGAAAGACCTAGCTGGATAGGGTTAAAAAAGGTCCTGGAATGACATCACGGTACAGACGAGACGCTACACGCCTAGCATAGGACTGAAACCTGCACCTCGGAGGCACCTCCCTTCGACATCCTACGGATACCAAAGTAAAAAAGTAAAAGTATCAATATTGATAGACGGGACACACATTGCATAGATCTATATCCAATATCCAATGAATGGAGAATTTTATCTATGCAATAAACGTTATTTAATTGTGATAGATTCAAACAGAACTGTGCTCATCGATTTTTTGGGGGTTTTATTTTGTTTTTGTTGTTGTTGCTTTAGAGCCATTTGTTTTGTGTAGAGCACGAATTCCCTTTGAACATCAACTTGATATTTTAGGCTACATAATATTGGACATAACCACCTGTCATTTCATCCCAAATTTCACAGAGAGTTGCACACAAAGGGTCTGAATTGTGAGAAAAGTTGCATTTTTTCAGCTGCTGTATTATGGGACTGCTCATACCATCTGTAGGATTCATATCGGGGCTAATTACTTGTTAGGCCTACTACTCCAGCGTTGATATGGGTTTTCAGTGGCATTGGCCCTGTGAGAAAGCTTTTCTACGCCGGAATGCAACCAATTTGTGTTTTGACTATGTTGTGTTTTGCGCGCTTATGTAGTTGCGAAGGCCGTAAAACTCTAACTGAAACAAAACAAAAAACATTTTTTTAAATTCTGCATGTCTTGACATTAAATTAGGGATAAATAAGTGGAACTGCACACATGGAGGTCAGAGAGAGAGAGAGAGAGAGAGAGAGAGAGAGAAAGATAGAGGGGGGGGGGGGGGGGGGCATTTGGCGTGTTTTCTTAATTTGTCGCGGTTCAGAATCCTGCAAATACATTTTGAGCATTGAATAGAGTATTGAGAGTTACGTCCCCTTGCCCCTTCCATGCCTCACTCAACAATACGCAAAGTCACAAAGATTTAGAGTGAGACCACGTACGAACGAAGAGAAGTGTCCTGGGTGGAGGTTGCTAATCAATCGGGAGGGTCCTCACAAACCAAAACAACTTGTTTAGGAGACTACTTTCATTGTCTCAAACAAACCATGGCCTCTTCGACGGTTGATTACGCTGTCAAAGAACTTGCTGAGGAAAACAGTGTAACGGAGTTCTTAACAGCTGCAGATATATTGCTCAAGTTTGCCTCGAATGTTTTAGAACACCCTCTTGAGTCCAAGTACAGAAGGATACGAATTGCAAATCAAAATGTTCAAAACAAACTCTTGAACGTGACTGGAGGCATTGAGTGTCTCTTTGCTATGGGGTTCCAAGAAGCGGATGTAAGTGAACTTCTTGCTTTTGTGTGTACAGACCCGGTAACCGGGAACAAAGTCACGAAGTAGAGATTCCTATAGATCTAGATCTACATTATATCGTCGGCCTTGTATTTTGTAATAAAACCGACTAACCCGAGCGAGGTAAATTTTACAGGAGAAGGAAAAAACTGTTTTATAATTTCAAAACAAAGGCGTCTAACAATAAATCAATGCCTTAAACACCTATAAAAACACTTGGCCGACACTATTTCTCCGAACGTTCGGGAAAATAGCTAGAGATTTTAAAATCATGTCTGAATGGCCACCTCTATTCTCACCCGGAGTGAGAATAGTGCAGGCGAGTCTTGTGGCTATTCTCACCCGGTGCGCGTTCACCAAATTTTGCGTTCCCCTAAACCACAGAATTCTACACTGTGATAACAGAAAAATTGTAGAATTCTGTGCCGTGAACAAACGTTCCATTACAACTGTAGCCTACTAAAAGCGTACAATTTTGTCTGTGGGCAGTGGAGAGAGAAAGAGAGAGAGGAGTAGCGCGAGAATTTCCGGGCAAAACAAAATGGCGACCCGCGTAGTTCGGCTCGATTCGGAAAGTTAAATAGCCGTAGCATCTTTGTAGACAACCAAATTAATTTACTTTTGTGTTTTAACATCATTTTTTAACTTTGTTTTGGTCAATTTGATCGTCCACACCGATAGACAGTTTTCAGAAAGAGACACAGAGAGAGAGAGAAGAGGGGAGGAGTTGATCTTGCGAGAACTTCCGGGCGGGTGAGAATAGCCACTTTCTGTCTGAATATTCAGTTCTCCAGTTGTGATTGGGGCAACGTTCACGGGCTATACTTCATTTGAAATGCCTTCAAAAGGTACTGTGAGAAAACAAGACTACTCAACCTTGGGAGTAAACTAAAAATCTTGCATTTAGTCTCCCTTAAAGCAAAAACTAAAATCCATCACGTGTAAACAAAAAAAAATCCCTCCACGCCCCACCTCCTCCCCCCGACCCCGTTCACACCTCACACAAACACACACGCACGCACGCACACACACACAGACACACACGCACCCACACTCACACACACATTCACACACACACAAACACAGGCGCGCGCGTGGGCCACTTCATTTGCAAATTATCAACAAATCTCGAGAACGAAAACCGTTTGCAGAAATAGAGTTCAGTTTATTTTCCTGAACATTCTAGCAGTACTTTTATTTTATTTTAGAAGGCCTTTTTAGGAACCTGTTGAGTACACAAAAGTCTCTTTAGTAGATCTAGGCCTAATTATTCAGGCTTAAAATATGCACTGTCAGTAAGGCACCTTTTGGTTTGAAATATTTATTTACATTTCTGTTGGCCTATTTTTTGCTGCTTTTGTCAGTCTAGCCATCATTATTTAAAGTATGGCTAGGCCAGCCGTCTTGTCGTCGTTAAATATATGGCTAATCTCTTCCATTTTATATTATGATTTATTGTTTTATTAATTTTACGAGTAGGCTTCTATGCACAGACTTCTATCATTCATTAATCATATATGGTCCCCTTTTTAAATTTATGCATCTGAACTCTCCACCTATTATCTTAACTGATATCACTCACTGGGTGGGAGGGCCTACAGATTCGCTCCAGGCAGGATCACATTGAACTGTGAACTCTTCCCTGATCATTGCAGTTGCAGCAGTAGTCTCTACTCCCGAATTTGCGTTTCAGACTGAATTCTAATTGGTATGGTCACAACATAATGGTGCGTGATGACAAAGTTTTGGGCGGGGTCTTTGGTCAAGAGATGGAAATATACTGTTTGGATAGGTAAAGGGGAGGGGCAACTGATGCTTAGGCGTAGATGTTGAGTCACGATGGGATAATAAGTGAAAATGGCATGCCTCCTGCCACTCTGATTGGTCATCAAGGTTGACCTAAACCTACCCAGGGGTCACGTCAGTTCATTTTAGAGTGAAGGGAAACCATTTTACCAGTTGTGGGCCTTAACATGGGTCGCCGTAGATTCTTCCCTTGGTGTGTCCCTTTCACCTGAGCTCCTACATTTTCTTTTCTCCCGAGACACTGGGATCTTGGGTGTTTAATTATGTTTGCAAACATATTCTAAGGTCATATGAATGTACTACAAAGTTTATACCCCTAGACTCCTGGAAATCAGCATTTTTATCCGAAATTGTCTTGTCACTTTTCTTTGATTTTAAGCCATAGTCTAAATGTATTTTGTATTTTTCTTCTCACGGCAGGATGGAGAGTGTCTTCTTCTTCCACAAAATGCAAGTCTTCAGCAAGTGGGGAAAATCAAGGCAGATTTACTCACAGAACGAAACAGAGTGTCAGGGACTTCACAGACAGCCAGTCCCCCTGCCCCGCCTCCTTCCAGTATAAGTGCTGCCAGTCCAGCTGTTGCTGAGAGCCGAGCCTCATCGTCAGCTGCAATATCTTCCCCGGCTCAACAAAATTTTAATATGTTTGCGGTAAGATGTTAGCGAATGAAGACGGTATCTGAGTCTGCTGCCTGTGGTTGAAAAAAAAAATCGTGAACATTTCAAAAGAATATTGCATTGGTTTATTTACAGAGTAAACAAATCCAGTCTGGTCTTTTTAAAAGTATTTTTTCACATAAGCCAGAGTGATAACATAATTATTGTGCCCTTCCGATAGAATGCTCTCTTATAATTCAAAATGATTTTGCAGAGAGGTCTTTGCAGGCCTGTCAGCTGTCAGCCCTATAAGGGAGCATAGTTTTGAATATATATACTGTCCTAGACCTTGCTCCATTCTTTAAAGACTTCACTGCAATGAACGCTGCTCCAACAAGTAGAGGAATTTAAGTATATGGGAAGCATCTTCACACAAGACGGGCGTATGGACAAAAAAATAGAAACAAGAACTGTGAAGGCAAATACAGTGACCTACCAGCTAGCACCCCTGCCCAGTCACAAGAACATTCCCACCGAAATAAAATCCCAGCTTATCAACAGCATCTTCATACCAACATCAACATACCAGTGCCAAACATGGTCTCTAAACAAGGCATAAGAAAGAAAAAATCAATGCATGGGAAATGAGGTGTCTCCGCAAAACCATCAACGTCACCAGAAGAAGAAATAGACCATAGTCCACAAACTGGAACACCACCAGTAATAAAATTCATAGAGCGTCAAAGAGTCAAATGGTTTAGACGTCTAACCAGAATGCCCCAGAAACAACTAGCGGCTAGAGCTTACAACACCCAAGAATCCGGCTTTAAATCAAGAGGAAGACCAAGAAAGGCCTGGCTGGATGGGATTAAAAAGGTCCTGGAACAACATAACATATCCATCACAGACACTATACACCTAGCACAGGACTGAAACTTGCACCTCCCCTCGACATCCTAAGGATACCAGAGGAAGGAAGAAGTATAAAAAGTAAAAGTAAAGTACTGCAATGTATGAGCAGTATTGGCGCGAAATGAGGGGATAACACCAGTTTTGCTAAACACAGTACAGCATGCATGTAGTGAAATTGGCGGGACATGGAAATCTTTTCATTATATACGAATTTTGCTCATGTGTATGAGTTGTAGGCCTTATCAAGGGAAACAAACAACGTTTTACACTTTGGTAAAAATTTTACATGAATTATGACCCATATGCTACACCAACATTGTCTCTCTCTCTCTCTCTCTCTCTCTCTCTCTCTCCCTCTCTTTCTATCTCTCTCTATCTTTCTTTCCCTCTCTGGTGTTTAGTTAGATCTCCTCGCTGGATGATGCCAGTTTTTTCACAATGTACGAAATGTTTGCACTGACTATGGAGACGTTTTGAATACGAATTATACAGAAGAAAAAATTTGGGACTTGAAAATCTGTTAACTATCTGCATGTTCACTATGTGTGTACAAAAATAGTTGACTCTTTTGCATTTTTTGCAGCCTTTCCCTTCACTTGGCTGCAAATTGAGTTAATTGGTGCACTCCATAGGCAGCTGGTATTAAGTCAAAATGCGTGGTCTTTCTTTCTCTTCTTCCAGCACTGACATCTAAGTGGTCAGAGATGCCGACAGCACACAGGAACTCCATACTTGCTCAGGGGCCCTTGAACAGTGCTGATCCTGGGTCGTTGAAATGTCCCAGCAAATGTGTTTTGGTACGATAGTTGGCAGGACATTTTATGGTCCATAGTCTTGTCCTCCTCTTTGCAGGCTTGACATGACAGATTTGAGTTGACTGCTGGCGCAATTTTGTGTAGGTATGATCTCAGCTTGGGCGATTTTCTACCAATTCTCATTTGGGAGAAAAGCCGGCCGTCTTGTTGTCTGAGCGAGGCCGCAAGCTGGTATGATGGCGGCTGGACGAACCTCAGCTTCGGTTTTGCTTCTTTTTTCCACTTTGCGTGGGTTGACCGGTGGAGTGCATGGTGTAGGATATTATCATGCATAACACAATTATGCTAGGGAGGTACAATGGTGCTGCCTCAGGGTGCATGTAATTTTCTATTACAGTAAAATCCTGTTCTAACGAATGTCCGAATGTCCGCTATAGCAGCGTTGTCGTTTAAAGGTATGTAGTATAAGGTTTTACGGCGCTCGCAACTGCTAAGGTCATATGAGCGCTCGTTTAAAGGGATCCATTAATAAATTCAAGGGAAATGATATAGTAGGCCTAATCTATGAGTTTGGTGTTCTGTTCATTTCTTTTTGTTATCTCCTCCTGATGATTTTTTTCAACATGACATCTAGGTCTTTCTGGATCAAAAATTGAATCTGATTTCTGGATCAAAAATTGAATCAGGTTTCTTTCTCTAGCGCTAGCGATGTTGACAGCTCGGCGTTGGCGATCTGAAAAAAAGGGCTCTAGTCGCCCGCTGTGATGTCCCCAACCCCACCACACCCTTTGGTGCATTCCGTCTGCTTGTGCACATCACACATTTGCTCCATTAATCACTGCACTGTGACCTCTTCATCCCGTTCCCGCATCGGAGAAGTGAGAGGCATGGTAAGCCAGGCTAGATAATCTAGACTAGGCTGGCCTATCTCGTGATGCTGTCTGCTTTTCTGCGCTTGCCACACCCTCCCCACTCATTCACTCCGGCCTCCTTTGCGGGCTCTCCTATTCTTTGTTTCGCTAAATCACCAAGTTTCTCAACTGGCGAGGTTTTTCTATAAATGGCCAATGCGATGAGCACAGCAGTCAGCAATAATCCACTATAACCGACTCGCGTGTTTGTCTGATTGCCCTATAGCAGTTTTATTTCCAAAGGTAAAGAAGGAAGAAAAATGGGGTTTTAGAAAAGTGTCTTTGTAACAGACTTCTGGTTATTTCAGGACTCTTTGTAAGTGGACTCCACTGTATTATCATTGAAATCAGATCTCTCTTTACTCATACCAAAGTACTCATTAGGTTTACAGTTTACTATACAGAAGAAATGATGATGTTAAGTATCTTCACTGGTGGTTGGCGGGTGCTCTGGTGTGGTTTGCTCCTTCTTTCCTATCAAACATATATCATCCTTATCTCCCCTCCTTTTTTGTGTTTGCTTCTCTCTTGTAACAATTTTAATCTTCAGCACTTATGTGACCTTATTGTGTTGCAAGTGCCGTAAAACACTTACTAAAACTAAACTAAGTATCTTCATCTTTCAGAAATTTGTAGTATATTTGTTACTGTCATATTATGTTGACAGTATTTGTTTTCTTGTATTTGTGATAACTTAGAGAATGCTGTTTGCAGGTTTTCTTAAGACCATGGTTGAATAAAAATTTATTGTTTCTGTCTCGTTAAGTTTTATCCCAGGGCTTGATCACTTGTTGAACATGACTCAGCTTTACTTTTTCTAATCTGTCTCCCTCAGGCTTCAGAAAGAGATTTCCTCAATCGGATTATGGGAGCAATGAGTCGTGTGCAAAACTATGAAGTCCAGTCCTCTCAGGAAAGAGCCAGGGCTGTAATTCCTATAGAGCGACTTGAGTCGGAAGCAAAAGCCAAACTGGCATCACTTCAGCAAGAGGGGTCAAACCCAGGCCTCAACGTGGATCTCCAGGACTGCCTGGTTCTGGCACTGCTACGCTGGTTCAAACAGGAGTTTTTTCACTGGGTGGACACGGTGCCATGTGAGCTTTGCGGGGGTCAGACCCGTAACACAGGAAGCCTGACACCTGTGGAGAGTGACCTCCGTTTTGGGGCATCTAGGGTAGAGGCACATACTTGTGACTCTTGCTCGCATGTTTCTCGGTTTCCCCGTTACACCAATGCTGTCAGGTTATTAGAAACAAGGCGGGGGCGTTGTGGAGAATGGGCGGATTGCTTCACCTTATGCTGCCGAGCTCTGGGGTTTGAGGCCAGGTACGTTCTTGACTGGACTGACCATGTGTGGACGGAGGTTTTCTCTGTGGCTCAGAAGCGATGGCTACACTGTGACCCGTGTGAGAATGTCTGTGACAAACCGCTGCTGTATGAGTCTGGTTGGGGAAAGAAGCTGAGCTATGTGCTAGCCTTCTCCAAGGACGACCTCCAAGATGTGTCGTGGCGCTACTCGGGGAAGCACAGCGAACTCTTGTCAAGACGCAAAGCATGCCGGGAGTCTTGGCTTCAAAGAACTGTGCATGGACTGTGGAAGAAAAAGTTGGCTACTTTGCCTGAAGCTCGTCAAAGTGAACTGCGTCTCAGACTATTACAAGAGCTGGTGGAATTTTTAACAGTGAAAACAGGAAGTGGAGAAGTTCTCCCTGGTCGAACAACGGGTTCTCTGGCTTGGAGAGAAGCTCGGGGGGAAGTCGGTGATGGGGCGGCCGCTGCTGCCGCGGTGGCATCCACCAAGGATTTTGTCTTCTCTCCAACAGAATCTGAAAGGGAGTCTGAAATTATACATGTATGTTACAACTGCGCTGAAGACAAATATGTACGCAAATCCAGTGGAAACGCACAACAGGTTGGCTGGTTGGCTTGCGTCAACTCTTCCTCAAATGTTGTCAGGAAAGAGGAGCATGACTGGAAGATGGTTTACCTGGCGAGACAGAATGGAGGCAGTAGTGCTGAGATTTCATGGAAGTTTGATGTCACTGGTAAGAATTTGCTCATATTTACAAACTTGATGTACAGTCCACCCTGGTATTTGCCGCCTACCTTGGGGCAAGCAATAAGCTGGGGAGTGTAACAGGGCTGAAGGTGTAACTGGGTTTTCATGTTGTCTTCTGTTCTATAGCACCAGCTGCCCAAGGTAATGAATCTACCAGAAATAGATGATGGTGGACAATTAGGAGTCCTTTCCCCTTGTCAAAAACTTCAGTGGTCAGATGGGATGGGCGGGGAGGGAGCAAATTGGTGACAAGTGCAAGTTTGCAGAGTTGTGTGTGAGAGATATGGTGGTTATCATTGCTTAGCTGTCGAGCGGGTGCTCTGTGTATTGTGTACCTCTGGTGGCCAGTTTGCTGGCTGTGTTCCGAGGCAAGTTTAAATCAGTTAAGTAAGGATCATACAACTTGGACAGTGTTATGTAGAGAGGCTCCTTTTCTTGCATTGGCAAAATTGGGTGAGAAATAGAGGGATGATATAAAAGGGTTTGTCTGTACATATATTGTTTTGTTATTTGTTTGTGCGTGTATGAAGAAATATCAGGCTGTGACATGTCATGACTTAGAGAGACTAGTATACAACTGTCTGATATGAGATGGCTGACCAACTGTTATTTCGTAGGGTGGATTAAACATTTTTTATAAATCAATTTATTTATTTTTTTGTTCCATGTCCTGATTTGGTGTCAGATATTTTAGTAAGTTCCTTACGTATGAATAGTGTCCCCATGGCAGTAAATGTTTTGCTTATTTGATATTTGATGATGATGATGGTGATGATGATGGTGCTGAAAGTTGAGAATGATGTGCAGCTTAATCTTGATATTATTTTATGTGAACTTTGTTTGGTGCTGACACTAGTTCGCCTCAGGGATTAATACTGAGTGCCTCTGCTTACACTTGTGACTGTTCATGCTTGGGAAGTGTTTGAAGTGTGTTACGATTAAGGTTGATAGATAATGTTTTGATATCACCATACAGTTATTGTTATTGAACATGTGTTTTTAGTATTACTGTACATTTTATTGGATTTACCAGTATCCTCATCATTGTGATTGTTGTTATTGGTTAGAGTTTGAATTTTTTAAGAACCTTTGTGGAGTTAGGTCACCTGAGTTTATTTTGCCTTTAATTGCTATGTATATATATATATATAAAGGATAGCTTTTCTACGTGCTCATATAAACATTAGCATACATGTTAGTGCTGGGCAAGTATCCCGGTATTTACTCGGGTACCTGGGTAAAAAACTTAAAACCGACTATCCGGGTATTGGGGTCGGATACCTGCGTTTTCTACTTCCCTTTGTTAAAATGCTATGCAAATGCACTTAAATAACGTCCCTTCTTTCGAACCTAAATAAGTACTGAGTACTTATCGATGCTGAGCTCTCTTATTCATATAGTACTCGATTTGGCCAATATCGACAAGTGCCCACCACTAGCCTACTCTCATACCTCCTTTCCCTTAAAACCAGCAGATCACAAAAAAGGCCATATTTGGGCACGTTATATCAGAAAGTTTCCAAGAATCGATTGGATACTTTGGTAGGGCTAGGCCTTTATTTTCAATTTCAATGTCCTTATATGGAAGCAACTAGTGTGCATTTCTAAGAATCCAACAGAGAAGTGAAAGTTTCTAAGGGTACCAACGGGTACTCAGGTATTTCCCGGGTATTCCCAGCCCCAATACATATTATGCTCACATTCACAGATAGGTGTAAACAGAAGCGCACAGACACATGCACACCTACATTTACTTTCTCACATGTTCATGCACATGCTCTCATAAGTGCAAGCATGGTTATAATACACATGTACACGCACACACTCACCCACCCACACGCGCGCGCCACACACATAAACAGGGATAGGCTACGTGCAGATACATTTCTAATTTACGCATTCACTTGTGCTCTCTCTCTCGCCTTCTCTCTTTTCCATTTTTTCTCTTTCTGTCTTTCTCTCTCTCTCTCTCCCTCATTCTCTCTCTCTCTCTCTCTCTCTCTATCTCTCTCTCTCTCTCTCCCTCATTCTCTCTCCTTCCCTCTGTTTCTCTCTTTTTCTCTCACTCTGTCTCCCTCCCTCCCTCCCTCGTGTGTCCTCAGTTTAGTGAAAAGATGGAGAGTACTAAAACATTAATTGTTTGTTTCTATGTTTGATTTGTCACAAATGATGAATGCTCTCCTCAGATACTGACTTGAGAATCAGCAAGATGGAGCTGAAAGCTTCGACAGCCGTTTACGAGAATGGAAAGATATCGTGGCAGATATGTGCAGGAGACAACTGCTTCTCACAAAATGGTCAGTTTTGGAGTTCTTAAAGTTTGGTTGCTTTTTTATCATTTAATTTATTAATTTATTTCCCTTTCAATTTTGTAGATATAGAATATTTTTGAATGACTGAATAATTGTGGATCCTTGTTTCCATTTTAAAAAACTAAAATGAATTAAAATGTATGATTTTATGGATTTCAAAAAATTTTCATTTGTAATTAATGATAGTTCATTCCGAGAGTGGCTGGTGTTAAGCTTAGAAGTAGGTTAATGGATCACCTTCAAGGGTCCTCTTTAGAGACAGATGAAATTAAAATTAAAAGTTAAGTGGCTACTTATATCTTATAGAGTGTGTTTTATTAGAAGAGTGCTGAGTATGTGTCAGCTGTGGAATATTGGCCTACTCTCTTCCCCCTTTTTTATGGACTGTAGATTTCTTTACTTTTTTTTTTTTTTTTATGTAATTTTATTCGCTATTATTATATTGTTGACTACTTCTGAGCAGTGTTAGAAACTGGTGTTCTTACAATATCCCTCTTACGGCAGGAAAACCCAGTTAGTAAAAGAAAAAATTGGTGTTACTCATTCACTTGTACATGCTGTACTACACTTTTTAACGTGATTCTTTTCAGTGCGATTCTATAGTGCAATGGTTAGGCTCTAAGCTTGTCATTTGCAAAAGATGTGGGTTTGATTAATGCCCATGGAAATCTTATAGTAATAATAACAGTTTGTCTGTTAGTGTCTGATGATGACCAATGTATCTGCAGTGAATGGTATTTCTTAAAAAAAGTAAATAGAAGAAAAAGGATTAAGAAGATCCTTTGTGGCTTTTGCTTTGGCCAATAAGACCAATTCTAGCAGGGAAGAGTTTGTCACATTTTTAGCATTTAAAAGCTTCAGTTTCATTTGGGGATGTCCACAGTCTGCTGGCTTCACTCTAGGCTGCAGCATTTCTAATTTGTGATGCCTCATATTATGTGCTGCCTTCTGTGATTGCTGCTCTCCAACTGATTCTGTCAGTTTAGGCTGTCCAATGTCAAGGTATTGATGTTGGAAGTCCTTTTAAGACTTTTTCAGGGTGTCTTTTTTGGTGCTCCAAATTTACGCTACCCTGAGGATTTTTAATAAAGGACTCAAAAAGAAAAACTAAAAAACTTTTTTATTACTGGGTCAAGGTTTTTGGAAAATATTTTTGTTTGGTCACTGGCCTGCAGAAGTGCCATGCAAAGTTTAGTGGGCATAGGTAAATGAATAAATGAGCTAGTATTTTTTTGACGTGGTCCGTCGAAAGTAAACACGTTGTAGTGTTTTATCCTGCCATGTGATGCCAAGAACTCTCCTGAGACTGAGACATTTCATGTGGAAATGACTGAGCTTCTTGGCATGCTTTAGTACATTATGCAGGGCTCAGCGCCATATAACAGAATTTGAATCCTACCCGTCGAATGGATTGTAACAAGTATCTCTGTCTTTCTGGTGGTATTTTGTATCCCACTCATCCCAGGTCGGCCTTGACTGGCAAGGTCAAAGCAGCCCACCTTGAAAATAATATAAATTATGTCTAAAATGAGCAAGTAAATTATTTGCAATGATTTATGATAACATTGTCTTGATTATTTCTGTACTCTCTTGTGTGTCATGTAAAACTGCAATGTGGATGACCTTTGTGTGAATCTCCACTACACACACCATTTTCTTGGAAATCGGAGGTTTCAAGGTTTTCCGTCCATTTGATTCCGTGCTATCCATCTTATTCTGGATGGACCTATAAACCAGAAGTTCTTTCTCTCTGTTAACCTCACTGCGTGTAAAGGGATGTAAAACTCACAGTGTACGATTTGTTTTAATTCTCAGGGGCATCTCTACAAGACTTTATGACCTTTGACCTGCATGGCACGAAGACACTGACCATCACAGCAGTCATGCGCGGCGGCAAGGGTGACGTTGCCTGGCAACACACACAGCTGTTCCGACAGTCGCTGCAGACACAAGGAGAGTTCCCGTTTGAAGTGCGACTCTTTCTCAACTGAGATTTTTGTGATATGGTACCGTAATACCTTTCTGTGACATAATAGTGTAGAACCTTGCTCTGATATGGTAGGGCCTACAATAAAACCTGGCTATGATATAGATGTATTTGATTTGGTACAATGAAACCCACTATGACATACATTTTTTGGGGGGGGGGGGTTTTAAGGAAGTGACATTGTATTATTGTCTCGGGTGATAAAAAACCTAACGGTTCATTGATCAGAAAGATTTTTGCTCCGTTCAAAGTTTCATCGTAGCATTTGCTTTCTCACAAGCAAAGCTATGATGGTTGAACAGATATGTGGGCTGGATAAATAAGTTGTTGTGTCTATTGAAATTGTGAGAAAAAATAATGTGTTATGACACAGTGGAATTGGTCGCTCATCAATTCTTGGACACATAGAGTTATTGGTACAATCTTGAAGTTTGTTCTTTTGTTAAGCTTTTAAAGAAAAAAAAACAACCTACCCATCTATTTTGAATAGAAGTCAAGATATTTACTATTGAATAAGTGTGGAGTCTGATGTCAGGTGTAGAGTAAGCAAGAATGTGGCGGCAAAGTTTGGTGTCCTTGGAAACTGCAAATTTACTCTTTTCGCATCATTGATCTAGATCTAGTTTTTAAAAGTAAAACCCATGTAGAAATCTTTTTAACCCTTTATTGAGGGTGTGTTTTTTTTAGAGAGAACAATGTGATTCTTGGAGAATACACTCATGAGAGATCTCAACTAACAAAACTGCTGTACAAAATTTTTATCTGGGTGTTTTGTAGGGTGGGACTCATTCTTTGCTATATATCGACAGACCGAAGGGCTAGAACCCAAATGGCCGCTGGATCGGAAAAGTAAAGTAAAGTAAGTAGGGTGGGACTCACAAGTCTCAACATGCATTTCCAACACCTTATTGTTCCTGGGACTCACATGTCCCATGACCCAAAAATGGTAAAAACACAACTGTGGGTCATAATACCATTAGGCCGTACAATGTTTGTTTTAATTGTGCGTAGGTCCAATGTCTACTTTAATACAACAGTGGGCATTTTGGTAAGTCAAGGGTGACTTTTTGTCCCGATACCCAACAGATAGAACAATACCGCACAACCCGCTGCTAGTAAATAGTGGGACCCACTTTATCAACATTGGCTATATATATTGACATATATTGACCTCCTGCACTTTATCAACATTGGCTATATATACTGAGGTGCAAAAGAAACGCGGATTTTTAGTACAACACATTGATTGACAAAATGCAACACATAGGTTTTAAGTTATTTGTTGTGTTTATTAGCTGAAACTTTGCACACTTCTTGAGCGACATAGCTGACATGAACTGAGGGTCCAGCACTTTCATCTGAGCTCACGTTGACCTTGACCTTGGTGAGCAAACTTAATAACGCGTATGGCCTCCACGTGCAGCGATTATAGTGAGGCATCTTCTGTTCATAGAGTTAGTCAAACGGTTGATCTGGCCATTTTGGATGCCATCAAAGATCTGGATGATGGCTGCCGTCAACTGGGCTGCTGTTCGAGGCCGTGGCTGCGTCTGGTTAAGCTGTCTTTGGATCAGGTCCCACAAATGTTCAATAGGGTTCAAGTCAGGTGAGAGAGGTGGGTGTGCCAATAAATTGACATTGTTCTGCGCCAAGAAGTTCTGGATAGCACGTGCGGTATGTGGTCGTGCGTTGTCTTGTTGATACAGGAGTCAGGAAGTCAGGATGCCTCTGTACAAAGGGCACCACATGAGATGCCAAGACTTGTACAATGTAGCGCTGAGCTGTGACGCCGTTTCCCCTTCGTGGACCAATGTTCTGAGAGATGACAGGTCCCACTCCATGATTCAATGCCATGGCTCCCCATATCACCACGCTCTCGCCTACCCAGGGGTCACGCTCCAGAATGTTGTTATCGTCATAGCGAGTCGTGTCTCTACGCCACACACGGACACGGCCGTTCGCTGGATCGACGCAGAACCTGCTTTCATCACTGAAGAGGACTCTCCTCCACTGTGCATTCTGCCAGTTGACATGCGCCTGTGCCCACTGTATCCGTTGCTGTGGTTGCCTTGGTGTTAGGACAGCTCCCTGGTAAGGACGCCTGCAGTGAAAACCAGCAGTCAGTAACCTCCATGACACACTCCAGCGGCTAAGTTGGCTTTCAGTCGTTCCCATGGTCGTTCTGGCAGTCTCTGCAGCCGGCAGAAACGGATCACGGCGGTGCCGACGAATCATGACACAGTCATGGGCCGGAGTTGTCCCCGTTGGTCTTCCACTTCGTGGTCGATCTGCTGTTGTCGCTGTCACTTGTAATCGGTTCCGAAGGTTAATAAATGGTGCTTGGGTGGACACCAAAAACCTGGGACACCTGTTCCACCGACTCACCGGCCGCCAGTCGTCCGACAGCTCTTTCTCTGTTTTCCCTTGATAACCTTGGCATGTCTGTAGCTGGTCTGTTTCGATATGAATGCAACATTTTGAGGCGCAGATTTTATAGGCATACACCCAGGACTGAGTGAGCATAAACTCACCACTGACAACAAGTTGCAAATGTGTCCCAGTGAGTTGTGTATTGCTTACGCAGCCAATGATATCTTTGCAATGTTCAAAAATGCCCAATCAAGACGCTCAAGGCAAGTGTTGAGTGATATGAGTTCACATCACACGACTATGAACTCAGCATTGGGTGATTACTTCAACATAAAAAATTGGCGGGTTTTTTTGCACCTCACTATATATTGACATATATTGACATCCTGCATACTGACATTTCATAGTCACATTCGTTAAATATGTAAATGGCTATATCAACATTCGTTTATATTAACATAATTTCCTCAGTCCCGAGCATGTCAATATAATAAGCAGGTTGTACTCTATTGACATACGAGGGACCGAGGAAATGCCGTCAGCATAAGCAAATGTCGCAATAAGTTTAAGCAAGTACATTTTATAATGTTTGATCAAGAAAAGGACTTTGAAATTGTCAATGTAGGCAGGATGTCAAACAAGCAGATATCAAAAGGCCTATGGGTGGGTTCTGCTGTATATTATAATAATACAAAATAGCAAAACACTTTTCTTTTACAACAAAAGACCTGTTTATTTATCTTAATGCAAAGAGCAAATCAGTTCCTGGTAGTAGAATTAATTATGAACGCTTTATATTATATGAAATGAAATGCAGTTAAGGCCTTGTACCATGGTACGTATTTTGCATCCATATTACGTATGTATTTTATGCAGGTAAAATATGTACGAAAATACGGATCCCACACTATTTCCTGTAATCAGTTCCATGCGATACGTAATATGTATTTAACGCGTTCATGGTTTTTAAAATATGAATCAAGCTGCGAATTTTGATGAGAATACATACCGATGCCCCCATGATCAGACCTCATAAGTGCCAGAGAGATTTTTTCCTGGAGGAAAAAAAAACCCAACTAATTTTTGTTAAAACAGTGTTGTCAGACCTCTCCAATTTCACGTAAAACCATTCAAAATAGTGACTAAGTGAGGGTTCGTTACTTTTTAAAAACATATATTGATTTTCTTATTTTATGACACTTACAAGGAATGATTGCACTGCCATGGTTATGATCATACCTCGTAAGCAACGGCTATATCGTTTATGAGGTTTGATCACAGTGAAATGTTGGTGAAGTGAATACTGGTAAACGACAATATTATCGTATGACAGAAGGACTGTGTAGCGTATAGTGTGTTATTATACATTGTATCTTGTAGAGTAGAGTTAACTAGCAGAGCAGTCAGTTGTTGTCAAAAGAAGAAATGAAGTTTTCAGTCGAAACCTATGAGTATGAGCGTTTGATCGAGGTGGTTAGAGAAACCCTGTGTTTGTATAATGTGTTGCGTCCTTGCAAATAGCAGGGCCCGCGAATCCTTGTAGCATATCCATTTATACTGAGGACATTCTAAAATATTCAGGGTACTTGTTTTCATCCAGTACTAGTTCTTTCACTTGATAATACTCGGCACCATATTGTCTTCTCTGTTTTATAATATTGTGGATCCAAAATCTATATCTTTTTTTTTTGTTTAATTTCCTAATTACAGAACCAAGCAAAACATCTTTTTGATTTCTCAAAGAGAGCAATTATACAAGACGCCTACATCTAGACATCTTGTTTCACAACTGGCACAAAAACATGTTTGTAATACGTATGTAGCTTTTTTTTTTTAAGCTTCGGATGGTGGAAACAAGAAACACATAAAACGAAAAATAGGTACGTAATACGCACATCCAAAATATGCATCATGGAACTGCACTTTACTGGTGCTGAAATATACTTGGGAAGTGTGCGTTCAAGTGAACCTGAATTCTACCAAACCCATGGCAGGACGAATTTGTCCCACTCGTTTTCTTATCCGTTGCTGCCTGTCTGCATCATTTTCTTACTAAAAGGGTTTATCTAGGCTATGTGCACCACCAAAACATGGAGCATAAAAATTATGAACGACAATGAGAATACCAATACTGTTTAGATGAGAGGGTATATTTTATTGTTAACTCACCTTGAATTCTCTGTTTCGGACCCAAGCTGTCAACTTCTACAGTGAGGAGTCCTGTCATAGAACAAAGGGTTAAGTGAACATAATAGGTGTTGAGCCCACCCCCACCTCCCACCCCCAACAAAATTTCAATACAATTTGCCCAATGGGTGGAAAAATATGGGTTTCTTCGATTTCATTATTTTAAAGAGAGCCTGATTTAACCGCAATGACACACAAGAGATTAACTTTTAAAAGGTTTTGTGTTTTTTCTTCCTGGTGACTGGATGTTCTTTGGTCTTGTTAAATAATTTTAGTCCAAATTTGTTCTGAATATATGCATATATAGAAATTATTACCGGTAATGAGTTTTACTGCATGTTGACTGTTGCAACAGGTGATTGTTTTCTTGTAAACATTATATATAGTATAGGCCTATGCAAACCAGCTACTATGTATTCGAGAATGTCAGAGGTGAATGTTTTTACAAGTGGCAAAAGTCTTATTTAAATCATGTTTTTCGTGGATTGTGCAGTATGAATGTGGCTAAATTTATATTATGAGAGATGAAGCTTTATTTCCTTAAGTTCATGCAGTAAAAATGTGATTTTGTGAAATTCTAGGTGGCAATATTGGTGAACCCTGTTGAAGAGGCCTATCAGTATCAAGCAAAGTCACAAAGTTTAATTTTTAAAAATTGTGACAAGGGCTGCCTTTAATTGAAACAGGTGAAGTGTAGTTAAATAAAAAGCCCTGAAGTTGATTGAAGTTCCACTGCTATGCAATAACCAGTCATGCTATTGGCGTGTTTGATTTTTTTTTTTTCTGTTTTACTGGAATCCTGCGATATTATACTGTAAATGTTTATGTGTATATATATTATACACATATATGTGTCCACCATTGTGAACCAGTGCCCTATGAGTATGAAACCAAAGAGGATTGTTTAGTCCTTTTGTGTCCTCTCTCTGTGATGGCTGAATTTGGGGAAAAAGTCTGTCCGTTCCATTTTAGAAAAAAACATATTCTAAATGTACATGATCATGAAGGAAGCTCATTCCATGTAGATCTATTCGCCCTGAGTTAAGTGGCTGGACAAACATCATGTTGAAAGAACTTTCGCAAAGTTGCATTTACATGTACTGTATTAAAAGATGTTGAACATGTTATGTTTCTTTGAAGTTCTTAATTTCCTTACCAGTCTTTGTCCCATTTTTCTTGAACAGACATGAATGTTTTAATAGTGGGTGGTTGGCAAGTTCTCTGTGTAGTTTGCTCCTTCTTTCGTATCAAACATCTATCTTTATCTCTGCTTCCTTTTTGCGTTTGTTCATTGTTGGTCTCTTGTAATGCCTTTAATCTTCGACACGTATATATGACACTAGCTGGGTATCCGTTCGGTTAACAGACTCAAAAGAATCGATCGCCAAGTTATTGTGGAAGCAGTGTGCACTGCCTGTGAACGGAAGCCTCACTTGTTTACAATGGTATCTACTAAGAAGACGGCCTTTCCCAAAATTAGATCTAAACGAAACAAATGAAAAACTGAAAATTATACAGTTACTTCAGACTTCTTAATATAACTGCACCTTTTAAATGGTTGTGAACCACCATTAATTTTTTCAAATTTGAAAGTTAAGTGGTTCGGAAGTTGTAGGCTACCAAAATGACAAACTTTGACAAATGTAATATATATGAATATACAATAGATTATTCTGTTGCAAGTGCTGTAAAACTTTTACCGAACCTAAAAGAATATTACAATATCATACAAAGCCACTCTATTTCCACCAAAGAAAAATTGCCAAGTGATATGAGCCTTACATTGAAAGGAATCTACATGAAAGTTTTCAATTCGTTTTTGTTTTCACCTTTCAGTAGACAGTTAAAGTTAAAGGGGGCTCTTGTGGCCTAGAGATTAAGGTGTTGGCCTCTCATTCAAAGGTCCCGGGTTCGAATTCGGGTAGCGACCGAAATATTTTTTTCTCTAAAATTGTCTCCTTTCACCCCCTTCTCTGCTCTCTAGCAATGTTCTGTCGTCTGCTTTTGTCTCCTTTTTCTGCACCCACCGCTCACCTCCTTTGCCCTCTCCTCTGGGCTCATAACTCTTTTTGCAGCTTTTCTACGGCTACTCCTTGGCTCCTTCTTACTGCTGTCTTTCAGCCACACCCCTGATCTTCTGGTAGGAAAGATCTACACCTAGCCTTCTCGGACAAGGGCAAAAAATCTCGGAGGGCCCGTGTGCAAGTTGCGCACTTTAAAGATCCCTTGGTGGTCTAAAATCGATAAGAGTAGGCTTCGACCGCCACCTGGGCAAAATTCCACATTTCCTACCAACTGAAAATATTAGGTGTGTCCCACGCGCTCATATGACCGTATGCAGTTGCGAGCGCCGTAAAACACTTACCAAAAAAAAAAAAAAAATCTTAAAAAAAGAAATATATGTAGGTTTTTATTACCCCCATCGACACAATTTAAATCATTTAGTTTGGGAGGCGGGCTTTACTCCACTTAGTCTGTAGGAGCCAACTCGGGGTGAAAGGGTACAATATTTCAGCCGAAAGACCGCGATAATCGTTAAAAATGAACCCCGCCCCAAGGGTACTAGTACTAGGATCTCGTGTATGTGACAACAAAGCACAGAACCACTTCTCTCAGTCGCCGGTTTTCAGTAGACACACATCGATCATTTTTTTAGCCAGGCTCCATAACCGCTTGATCGTTGAGTGAGGTCTCACTTTTCTGTAAGAAAGGACCCTTAGTTGACTGACCTGGCAACTCAGAGCTTAGAAGAAGTTAGAGCGCTTGTCAGAATAATAATAATAATAATAATGATAATAATAATAATAATAATTATAATAATGATGATAATAATAATAATAATAACATGTATAGTCTACATGAAGAGACAAAAGAGTCCAAAGCTGACCGTACAGAGCTTTTTGGACGATACGTATAGGAAGTAAAGAGAGAAAAGACCCCCAAAACTGTGCCAGAGAGGTTGTGCCATAGATTTGAAGTATCCTTATCTTAGATTGGGCACTGTCATGGCCGCAGCTGCTCTTGGCTCTGCATAAAGACTTAGAGCTAGCTGTGCTGGTGCACACCATGGGCGTAGACAATGAAGAATAAAACACTCGTCTCACTGTTGTTGATTATCTACTCTACCTTTCCCTTCTTTCCCTTCTTCTGGTTCTGATTTGAGTGGAATGGACAATGGTGAGCTCCATGAAGAACTGGGGTTACGTCAGAGAACAAGGTCGTGAGTGTTTATGAAAGTTAGTTTTAGTAGAGGTTTTACGGCGCTCGCAACTGCTCAAGGTCATAAGAGCGCCAAAAGATTAGATTAGAGGTGTTACAAGAGAGTAACAAACATAAAAAAGAAGAAGGGGAGATAAGGAGGATAGATGTTTGATAGAAAAGAAGAAGCAAACCACACAGGAGCACCCGCCAACCATCCACGTGTTATGAAAGAAATCTCTGGGTACCCGCCCACAGACCACGGAAAGCAACGGAACGGAACGTATTTTTCCCCGTCTGTATCCGTGACAAAAAACAACGCAACAAATTCCTCCTATATTGAACATTGTATGTGTGTGGTTGGCGGGTGCTCTGGTGTGGTTTGCTTCTTCTTTCCAATAAAACACCTATCGTCCTTATCTCTCCTTTTTGTGTTTGTTGCTGTCTTGTAACACCTCTAATCTTCGGCACATATTATATGACCGTATTGTGTTGAAAGTGCAGTAAAACACTAAAACAGACAAACAAGCATAATCGCCCACACACCACGCAACTTTCACTACAGGCTGTAGTACAGCAAAATGATGAAAAGTAAAATGTAAAAGTATCAATACCATAATATTATTTAATGAATTGTAAAGCCACACAGTTTACGTTTTAGAATTTAGAAAACCTCATTCAGAAGCGTCCTTGAAATAATAGATCTCGAAAGAAAAGAAGCTAAATCTTCCGTCGTGATTCGTTATAACTCTCCTGTTCAATCTAGTATTTGGAGAGCTGTGACATCTCTTGACACGATTGCGGGTGGTTAGTGGGTGCTCTGGTGCGGTACGTATAATTTGCCGTCCTATCTCTCCTCTTTCTGTGTGTTTGTTACTCTTGTAACACCTCTAATCGTCGGCACTTATAGTACGTCCTTATCGTGTCACAAGTGTCGTAAAACTCATACTTATACTCAACTGGCACGTTAATTCTTTAAAAAAACAAACAAACAAAAAAAAAAAACCCCTTTAAAAACCCTCCGAATGAAACTACGTTTTTTCACCGATCTGGCAAAACGACAGCTTCGTTTGGCAGATAACTTTGCCAAAGAATTTTTGGAATTACTTGATACCGAAAACAACGGAATTCCTTTCTCTCACGTGATACACAATGTTACAAATTATTGATAATTTATATTATCCATTTAGACTAAAATTTGGGACCAGCAGAAACAGAATAAACCTCACAACACCCTACTGCAGCTTGCGCCCAGAAAAAAACAACAACAACTAGTCTTTAAAAAAATATTTTATACGATGAGGCAAAGTTGTCTACAGATGTTGGAAAATTAGACGCACGCACTTAACGCACAAAATAATATGTGGTGAGGCAGCGTGGTGGAATCAGGCTCTCGTCAATTTTTGGGCATATAGAGTTATTGAAATCATATTAAAGCCTGTTCACTTGTCTTTATTTGGGTGAAAAAAAATCCATTTATCTTGAATATAAGTCGAGATATTTGGCAAAGAAGGACGTGGTGGTCACCTGTTTTCAGAGGTAAAATTAGTGAGAAACGGCCGCCAACGATTTGTTATAAATCCTTAGCTTAAGAGTCAGCGGTAACTGAAAATTTTCTTCTTTTTTTTTGCGCCTTTAATCAACGGTTTTCAGAAAAATCCACACATGAATGAGTTCTTTAAATTGCATGAAAGGTGTTGAGTCAAAAAACAAAAATTTGATGAAAATTCACAAACCTGCAGAAAAATGCATGTTTCTTCACTTTGTTTATTTTGACGAGAACCTGATTCCACCACGCTGCCTCACATATTCTTGAAAGAGAAGAAACTCCCCTTTACGTGGCATGCAACAAATATTTTACTATTTTGGTACCCTCAAGGAAGGTCTAAAATGTCTTATCTATTTCTATGCACATATATGTTAAAACTTTCCCCCGACCCCAAAGACGATAGGCCTACTAATCAGATTGTATTTATAAAATAGGTTTGGTTGAGTATAAACCTTATTATTTATATTATATAGCTATAAAATTGTGAAAAGGTAGATCTAACATTTTTATTATATATTTTTGTAAAGAATTTTAGATCAAGATCTTTATGCTTTTCCGTCCTTTAAGTTAATAGTTGGACAGGCTGTTGATTGTTATAATCATATGTAACATCTGTTTTTGGTGCTAACAGGACTAAAATTAGATAGTGCCGTTGAAATTGCAGTTTCGATCAATCCATTGAACATCCATTCCAGGTATTAAAATTAGTGAGCTAAGGTAGTGATAGAACCTTGAAAACTTCTTGGACAATCCAAAACCTTCTGTTGGAGAGTAAAACCAAGGTCAGGCGCATCAATATCATGTATGAATGATACTGATACTGATACTGATACTGATACTGATACTGATAATGATAATGATACTGATACTGATACTGATACCATTTTAACCGACAACACACCCCATTCCTAAACTCTCAATATAACTTTATAAGTGAAACGACACCTTCAAGACTCCTCAACATCACCCCCCCCCCTCCCCGAAAAAATTAAAAAAATAAAAAGGACCCCCCCCCCCCCCCCCCCAATGAAACAAAAGAAACAAACAAACAAACAAAAAATAAACAAATACACACAAAGAAAAGAAACTCGATTTTTTTTCGATGGCTTTGACTTTGGAATATATTATATTATTTGACCACCACCATGAAGCAGAACAAAAGAAGAAAACAAAACGACAGGAGCAGAATGATGAGCCTTATGAGATTTTACTAAATGATTGAGGTAATATTAATGCAACCAATCAACAATGTCCGGCATTGAGATGAAATCGGAGTATTCCTTACATAGAGGTTCAGTCATTATATACTGGTGCTATTGCTAAAAAAAAAAGTAGTCAAACCTCGTTGTACCGCTCTCCGTTTACCGCCAGCCCACTAACTGCCAGGTTTTACCAATGTACGAAAAGGGGTGCTTACGTAAACATAGTATTTACGTCTTCACACCGCCATCCGCCAACTGTCTGAGTGGTACGGTCATTTAATCAACCAATGTACATTTGTTCCACCATACCCTCAGCGAACTTTACGGACCACCAGAGATACATACTACCCACAGCGCACAACACCCTCTGGTTGGCTACTTGATAATCTTTCTCCTACGAGAAAGACACAGAGCTAGAGAGAAAGAAGACTCTTGGGTCTGAATACATGTGCAAAAGTCACTTTTTAAACTCGGATCGCACTGCAGAATCATGTCCAAAAGGTGGCGGTATAACGGGGTTTGACTGTATCACCTTTCGATTGCATCTAAACATCTTTTCCTTTCACACGAGTAATGTATATTACTAAGTCTCTAAAAAAGTAAGTCAAACATTTTTAAAAAAGAAGAAAATTGTCATTTATCCCTGATCGCGTGGGAGATTTTTTCTTTTTTTTTTGGGGGGGGGGGGGGTCGGGATAAAGTTTAGGTCTTTATTTATCAAAAACCACAAGAACATAATATGCTCATTGTCACCCAAGAAATAAAGTAGGCTTACCTCATCAGAGAAATCGAGGCATCGGCGTGCTTCTTCTAGCGTTTCTGCTGTGGCCAGGACATTCAATGTCAGTTCTTCTGTTAAAGTTGAACGTCCAGGCTACAACAGAAACGCGTGGAGGGTGCCAAAGGTCCGATTTCTCTCAAGCTGAGTTAAACCTACCATCTTTCTTGACTGACAATGATCAATAACTTGTTGCGGCTTTTGATAAAGACCTGAATTTCATTAATAGAAACAAAGAATAGAAAAAAATCCGCACATGGACGAGAAAAAAATCTAAATTTCCATTTTTAAAAAATGTTGGTACTGTAAACACTAACTGGGGCATCAAAATGTAATTTTTATACCAAAACCTTTTTAAAACTGCTTGGTATTACTCACTTGATAGGACAATCGTCAAGTCTGGAAGAACTGGATTTTTTTACGCAATCAAAAAATTTCACCTTTCTTTTGTTCAAGTTTAAATGTATAACAATAACATTTTTTTTTTAAAAATCTGGTCTTGCACGGATCTCTAACACTGACAGCCGATCAATCAGGAGCCTGTATGGGAATTTGTGGAATGAAACATGAACAATTAACAAATGAGACATTATCCTGGCAGGCAATAGAGAGAAAAGACACACTGCAGGTTGCCAGGCTTTGGGTCTGCCGGATGAGGTTCAAAATCGTCTTTGGGGACTTCATCATATGGAATAATAATTTTAAAAAATATATGGATTCATCGATCAGGGGTCTCAAACTCGAACATGATATTATCGGTGCCTGGTAATGAGTTTTACGAATCAATTTCTGTCAAACATTTCGGCCAATCAGTGAACTATGCCGCAGATATTCAGCCAAACAAAGGGTTTAATTCACGGAAATCCAGCCAATCATCGGTGATCTATTGTGAAGCTTCCAGCCAACCAATCATAGGTCTCTCTCGTAGTCACGGCCAATGATGGCGGCCTCTATGAGGGGTTTGGTCAGCCCAGGCTCAAACTTGAGTGTCATGCGGTGGTGGAAGCCCCACTGGTCAGCAGGGGCGAGTTGTAACTGACCGCCGTCAGACAAGACCGCCTGGTGTCACAGAAGGGAAAAGGGGAGTGGGTTAGTGAGATGTCATATATATAGTCGACACCGGAAAAGGAGGGACTGTGTCATTGTGCGTGTGTGTGTGTGTGTGTGTGTGTTTGGATTTGTGTTTGTGTGTGTGTGTGTGTGTGTGTTTGGATTTGTGTTTGTGTGTGTGTGTGTGTGTGTGTGTGTGTGTGTGTGTGTGTGTGTGTGTGTGTGTGTGTGTGTGTGTGTGGGGGGGGGGGTTTAAAGATTAAAAACTAGCAGATGCAAATAACATGAAATCTGGGGTTGAGAACGAGGTTTGGGGACGAGGTTTGAGAGACAGTGTGAGTTAAAGTAACAAATTTACAGTATGACGTATATAAAATCTAATCAATTCCGAAGACTTAAGAAAAGAAATGGGTGGGCCACCACCAAAACAACATCTACCAACACATCTATAGACACTTTTAAACCACCTACTGCCTTACCACCAGTAATGAAATTCATAGAGCGCCAAAGAGTCAAATGGTTTGGACATTGACCAGAATGCCCCAGAAACAAGCGGCTAGAGCTTACAACACCCACGAATCCGGCTTCAAACCAAGAAAGACCTGGCTGGAGGGGATTAAAAAGGAACTGGAACAGCATAACATACCTATCTCTGACGCAATACACTACACACCTAGCACAGAACCGAAACCTGCACCTCCCCTCGACATTCTAAGGATACAGGGGAAGTACAAAGTAAAAGTAAGTAAAGTAAGTATTGCCTTACCTGAGGCAGGACGAATGGGGTTTGAACCTCAGCCGTGAGCTCCAGTCTCCGGAAGCCGGTGTCCGAGTCAAAGGTGTAGGAGCCGCAGGTGCTGTGGTTGGTCGTGGGACAGCGGAGTACAGCACAGGTCTGGAAGTAGTACTTGCCGTGAAACACGCCGTCAAACGCGCCAAGGACGAATAACTCCGAGCTGGACTTGTTGGTCAGTTCGTAGGTCAAGTAACAGCAGACTTGACCCTGACAGGTTGTGGCGAATGGGAAGACGCTGTCCAGAGGTAAGAACGTGTAGCCTTTGTTGTTGAAAGGCTTGGCCCGGAGTTCGCTGACAGAGGTCCTAGCGGTTTTAACAAAAAAATCTTTGGTTCTTGCGATGTGGTGTTGCGGATCGATTTTGGCTAATCTTTGGTTTCGCTGCTCGTCTTGTTCAGAGTGGAAGTGTGGTGGAATGCTGAGTTCATCGATGAATTCTCTCGGAATACATTTTTCGTCACGGACAGAGTTGTGGCGTTTTTCAGATGTGGAGTTGCTTGGCGTTTCCGACAAGACTTTTAGGTCCGCTACAAGGAGTCTTGGCTCTGGGGTGTTTGTTCTGTTGTAGTAGAATTCCTTCATGCCCTCTGGCGTGTAGAGACCGCTACCTTGGAAGCGATATGCAGGCCGGTGTATATTTGCTGCCAAAACGTTCACCCTGAAACCTCTCGCAAAAGACGAGTGGTAGCCAATGGCGGAAAGAAGAGGAAGAGCGTCCATCCAAGCAGTTGGAAACACGATGTTTTTGATACCATGGCTAGTTACCATGGGTACCGCTGGCTCTTCGAACAGAATATCGAAGCAGATGAGAAAACCGAAGCGGCCGAAAGGCGTGTCAAAATACTTGACTTCCGGCTTGGGCTTGTTGAACTGCGATTCGTAAAATAAATTGTACTTGTGATACTTGGCCAAGAGCTTGCCGTCGGGGCCGAAAGCGACAGCTGTGTTATACTGGTATCGTTTGTCCGACGGGCATTTGGAGTCGATGTCTGGCTCGCAGGAGACTTTATCTCCCATGTTTGCCACGAGATACAGGGAGTTGTTCTGGGCCAGACAGCTCAACCATCTCAGGACCTGGGTTTCGGGGAAGCGCTCAGGGTCACTGCAAGGTGACCACGTGACTGAGTCAGGGTCAGGGATTGCCTCCAGGTACGGGTAGATGGTGTCACGGGTGAACTCATAGCCGTAGAGACCGTCTTCTGGGAACACGAGGATTTGTG